ACCCATAACATAAAGGTTTTCAATGCCTTGATGACACTGGTCGAGTATACATAACTAGACATGTAGTTTCGATGAACTTCATTTTCCTTTTGCAAAGTTACATGAAAATGTGTCTAATGACTTTAATTCTTCTGGTTCATCAAGCTCTTTACAGATTGTGGCAGATGTTCATAAATTTCAACATGTGCCTCATGAGGAATATGATTATAATTTAATGGCTAACAACAACCACACAATAGTATCTAGTGATTATTCCAGTTCAAGTTTGGTAGCAGCAAACAACAGTCAGACTGAAGCACAAGAAAATGTAGCTGCTATTTCGAATGATGAACATGATGATGTTGCACATGAAGTAACTAGTTTATGATAATCTATCACTGATGGGGTCCCAAGTGCATGAGGTAACTATAGTATATCGATGAATATCCACTCAATGATGACTAGAAGTAAATGTGGTGTGTTTAAACCAAAGGTGTATGTTAGTTTGCTAGTTGATGAAGTGTCATCTGATGTGTATGCTGCTTTTGAATCGTTGAGGTGGAAAGAAGATGTTCAAGCAGAATTTAACGCTCTATAGGCAAACAACACTTGGACATTTGTAAGGTTACCTGAAGATTGTGTTGTTGTTGGCTGTAAATGGCTCTTTCGAATAAAAAATAATTGTGATGGGTTTTTTCAAAGTTATAAAGCTAGATTAGTAGCAAAGGGTTATTCACAAATTCCATGTTATGACTTCAAGGATACATACAGTCCTGTTATCAAGTTTTCCACGTTGAATGTTTTACTTTCTATTACTGTGGCAAGGCAGTGGTCCATCAGAAAATTTGATGTAAATAATGCTTTATTAAATAGTGAGTTAGCTGAGGATGTTTTCATGCAACAACCACCTGGATTTGAGGAATATGGTGATGATGAAAGTGTTATCATGTGTAAACTTAATAAGGCGTTGCATGGCCTTAGACAAGCACCAAGAAACTGGCATGACAAGCTCAAAGCAAGGTTGATTCGATTGGGGTTTACTGAATCCAGAGCTGATGTTTCTTTATTTGTTAAGAATGATGAAAGCTGTCATATTTACATACTTGTTTATGTGGATGACATTATAATTACGGGTGACTCTTCTCTTAGTATCGATAGTGTTGTTAATGCTTTGAGTCATGATTTTTCTGTGAAGGATTTAGGAAGCTTAGCTTACTTTTTGGGAATTGAGGTTAAGCGTATAGAGAAGGTATTGATATTATCTCAACGCAAGTATACTCTTGAATTTTTGGAGAAGACAAGTCTGTTGAATGCTACACCTACAGTTACACCAATGGTTGGAGCCTCGAAAATTACTCAGGAAGCTGGTGAACTGTTAAGTGATGCTCGTGAGTATCGAAGCATTGTTGGTGCTCTTTTGTATGTATGTCATATAAGTCTAGATATAGCATTCAGTGTCAATAAAGAATCACAGTTCATGCATACTCCACGTGAATTACATCTAGCTGCTGTTAAACGGATACTCATATACTTGGCTGGTACACTAAACTATAGCTTAATGTTTGTTTGCAATGGTGTATCACAGGATGTTGTGGTATTCACTGATGTGGACTGGGGTTGCAGTTTGGATGATAGGAGATCAGTTTCTGGTCATACAGTCTTCTTCAGCCCATATCATGTGACATGGTGCTCTAGGAAGTACAAAACCGCATCGAGATCTATGATGGAGGCTGAGTACAGAAGTGTAGCTGATGCGGCTACATAAGTCACATGGATAAGTTCATTGCTGTGTGAACTTGGTATTAAATATCGAAACATGCATGTTGTGTGGTGTGACAACACCAGTACTATTGCATTAAGCACTAATCATGTTTATCATGCACAATCCAACACATGTTGATATGGATGTTCACTTTGTGCATGAAAATGTAGCAGCTAGAAAGATTCAAGTTAATTATGTGCCTGCAATTCATCAAGTAGCATATGGTATTACAAAGCCATTAATAGAAGGAGCATTTGAACTATTTTGAGAAAAGATGTGTGTCCTACCTTGTTAAAAGAAGAAGATGATGAAGCAGGGAGAATATTGGAATATATATTCTGGAATACATGACTGCATTCTAGAATATGCATTAACGTGTGTGTGTGCTGCTGATGTGAGCGTTGTGTGTGTGAGTGAGTTGTTATAGCTTTTAAGAAATGTTGAATTCTGTTATGAGTTTTTTATAGAGGTTGAGTACACTTGAAGTTACAGCTTATATATAAGTTGGTTGTAACGTAGTTAACAATGAGCTTAATGAATATTATCAGAGGTTATTCATTGAATTCTATCTTCTCAACATGCTACGACATTGTATCACCATCTGCCACATCTTTATCACATCCATCTACTTCCCTGTCATCTACATCATCTCTGCCATCACCATTTTACCTTGTCTAGAATAATCATTATATGCCAATATGGAAAAAAAATTGGCATTTTTAAACCACAAGTGTTACTTTCTAAGACAAGTCATCATGAGCCAGGTGATGTCTATGAAGCATTGCAACATTTTGCTTGGTGTGAAGTTTTTCATAATGAGAACTCTGCTCTTATGAAAAATGGTACATGAGAGTTGAAGCCTTTACCTCCGACTCGCAAAGTAGTAAAGTGCAAGTGGATTTTTAAAGTAAAGAAGAAGCCTGATGGAACAATTGATAGATTCCTAGCCCGTTTAGTTGCCAAAGGCTATTCTCAATTGGTGGGCATATATTTTTAAATACATTTAGTCCAGTGGTTCAAGAGAGCATGATAAGAACTATCCTTGTTGTCATGAATAATTGGTCTTTTACGCAGATTGACATCAACAACACTTTCCTTAATGAAAAACTAACTGAAGCGATATATTTGTCAGCCTTCGAGTTTTGAGCAAAGAATTGATGATGGGAAAAAGTTAGTGTGTTACTTGAATAAATCCCTTTATGGACTCAGACAAGTTTCCAAGGCTTTATTTGAGACATTGAAAACCTTTTTGATAGAGAATTTGGAATTTATCATTTCAAAAGTTTATTCTTGTATGTTCATCGTAAATCCAACATGCTTCCAAGTGCTTATAATGGTGTATGTTGATGACATTATCATCACTGGAAGTCAGGAAATAGAAGTGAATGTCGTAGTGTGAGAAATCAACAATGAATTTTTCCTTGAAAATTTAGGGTAGTTAAAATTCTTTCTTGGAATGCAAGTTCAACATATATCATGAGGTTTGATTTTAATTCATAAGAAATATATTGCTAATTTATTGAAAAGGTAAAACTTGGATGAGTCAACGTCTACCGCCACACCTATGGTTCTTGCACCTAAGCTAAAAGCTAACAATGGACGGTTGTTTGAAGATGTTCATCTTATCGTAATATTGTGGGAGATTTACAATATGTTTTCTTAACTAGGCCTGACATAGCCTATGCGGTTAACAAGGTTAGTTAGTAAATGAATAATCCTAGTGATACATATTGAAGGGCTGTGAAATGCATATTAAGGTATCTTAGCGGGACTCTTGAGCATTAATTGTTTTTCACTCATGCTGAGAATTTTAGTTTGATTTGTTACACTGATGCAGATTGGGCAGCCTCGGTAGAAGATCATCGATCCATATCAGTCTATTATATATAACTTGGAGACAATCTTATAGTTTGGTGTTTCAAGAAACAAAGTGTAGTTTCACGATCTATATCAGAAGCAGAGTACAAAAATCTTACTAATTTTGTTTCTGAGTTAATTTGAGTTGAATAGTTACTTGATGAAATTGGGATTAGTGTAACTGGTAAATCAATTGTGTGGTATGATAACCCCTCCACAATATATATGCAACGAACCCAACACATCATGCTTGCATAAAGTATGTGAAGACTAATATTCATTTCGTAAGAGAAACAATTCTAGCAGATCAATTCATTGTGAATTTTGTGTTATCTGCAAAACAAATGGCAGACATACTCACTAAACCATTATCACCTACAATGTTCAGTGATATGCGTTTTTTCCTTGGTGTAAAATCTTGAGAAGAATTCCAAGGTGCAAGTAAAGAGGAAAATCTGAAGAAGCTATGAAAATGTTAAAGTGGTAATTTAGTTTTCTAGAAAGTCAGGAGAATATTATAGTATTATTCACATAAAGAAGCCATGAAAATGTTAAAGTAGTAATTCAATTTTCTAGAAAGTTAGGAGAATATTATAGTATTATTCATATATGTATTTTGTTGTAACCGTCTATCAAATTTGTTGGGCTTCTGTTAAGTCTTGAAGTCTTGTATAAATAGTAGACTTATCCACTATTCTACTGTGGTTTTTTAACCCATTTTATGTTAATCAAAAGATTAACCTCTTTCTTCATTTTCTATTGATCTTTGTCAAAATCCCTATTTTCTTTTATTTTCTTATATGTCTCATTATCTTCTCATTTTTCTCCATAACCATTCATGTTTTACTGTTCATTTTCGTTTCCTCTCTTTTGGAATATAATGAATAGTCAAGTGACAATTTTATAACTTTAAATAGTTGATGGAGTCAACAAATCAACTCTATATAATTGAGAGATCATTTTATAACTTTTAATAGTCAAAAGACTTAATAAAACATTATCTTATAATCGAGAAATCATTTGTGTACTTTACTAGTAATGGGTTATGTGCAAAACATGATTAAACATTAGGAATTTGTTACCTCTTAAATAATTTTGGAAATACAATTATCATTTATGGTTTTATATGTGTTAATATAATTATAATTTATGGTTTTATTTGTGTTATAGATGTGTATTCCTAGGACATGTAATTTAAAGTTTTAAATTAAAAAAGAGTTATATAATATTTTAAAGTTTTAATTGACACGAAATTACTATATTTATATTATAAAATATAAAAAATAGTGAAAGTTTAAACAAAATTCGTATTGCTTCATTTCAAATAATTATGATTATAGGCTTATGAGCTAAGATCAAACCAAATATGTTGAAACGGCATCGTTTTATGTAAAAAAAAGCCAAAGGCATCTTACTCGAGTTCACTCAAAATTCAAAACTTCCAATTGCAATGCCAAACAACTCCCACTAACAAATCCAATCTAATTTCAATTCTTTGCCCAAAGCATAAGTTCTCTCCCCTTCTCTCTTCAAAAATGGAGAATCTATGGCGAGCAGCAACGGGTCAGGACCCGAATCCGGATGATTACAAAGGCGTCGAGTTCTGGGCCAACCCAGAGCGAGCCGGTTGGCTAACTAAACAAGGCGATTACATCAAAACATGGCGACGCCGCTGGTTTATCTTGAAGCAAGGCAAGCTGTTATGGTTCAAAGACCCTGCTTCCGTCAGCCTCCGATCCGCTCCGCGCGGGGTGGTTTCAGTCGGCGGATGCCTCACGGTCAAGGGAGCCGAGGATATCGTCAACAAGGCCTTCGCGTTCGAGCTCTCCACTCAAGATTCCACCATGTATTTCATTGCTGATACGGAGAAAGAGAAAGAGGATTGGATCAATTCGATCGGTCGCTCCATGGTTCAACATTCGAGATCCGTTACTGACTCCGAGGTCGTCGATTACGATAGCAAGGGCCGGTGAGTTGTCTGAAATTTTCTTTTAAATCTATTTTCGTCTTTTTAAAAATCTGTACTGTATATTTGCCTTGTGGAAATAAACTAAAAATCTAAGATACTTATGTTTGCTTTAATATTATGCACGTTTTTTATATAGAACTTAAACTTAAAACTGGGAGTTTGTTTTAGAAACCATGTTCTAAATTTCTGTATTTGATTGCAAGTTTAGGTTAGTAATTCTTATAATGAAGAATTCAGTGCATAATTGCTTTTCATATTGCACAAATTAATCATATTTCTTTTTAGAAAATCCCAAACTTGGGTAAATTTACGTTGGATTTGATTGCATTGAATCATATTTCCTTCTTTTTGACTTAGATTTCAGTTGCTTATGAACTTTCTTAATTAAAAGTGTTGGGTGTAGTATTAAGCTACATTGAAAATCTTAGTTGTTAATTTTGAAGATGAAATCGTTGATTTTTTGCCTCAACTTGCATTGTTTCTTCCTTGGGGTGGTTTTGCCTCAATTCGCACTTCTTCTGCTTCCAGCTTGAAGTAATGGATCCATAGCATCAAGTTCATGATCGGGCATTGCCATCTTTATTAGATTAAAGTTTTAGGCCATCTTTGAATATGTCATTGCTGGGTCTTTTTTCTTCTATTGCTGTACTTGCTTTTACATCTGGTTTCATTACCATTTTACTATTTGATACAAGTTTAATCACCATTCTTAAGTTTGATTTGCGTATTTCCATGAGTAATTCCTGCATATACGTTAATGATGATAATTCATTCATGGAAAAGTAATGAATAAAAATATAACGGACTGGAACTTATCTCCGTGAATTATGACCAGCTTATTTCTTGCTCTCAAACTGTTAAGATTCAAATCTCGACCGAATTGGATTCTATCTGAATGAATTGAATTAAGAGTTGTAAAAAGTAAATTAGAAGAATCTTGTGGGTAATTGGTGGGTGAGTTATTGTACTTTAAGAATGAAACTCAAATAGATATAAATATTAAATTTCAAGTCTTTTACAATTAATGCTCGAATTCAGTCTTAACTTTTAACAAAAAATTTAATATTGAGTTCATCAAAATATCAGATTTCGAATAGATTTAAAATCTATTGCGACTAATGGCCGTTTTCAGTTTAGAAAAAAAAACTATTGCGACTAAAACTCAAATCTATTTTTCTGTAAGTCCAATCGACTTGAACATACAAATCGGCGATGCAAGCAAAGTGCCATGAATTTGTGGTTTGTATATGTGTCGGCCTAATAAAAGCTTAACGAGCAAGACTGGGGCAGCTTAAAAGCAAGAGGTGTGGCGGCAAATTGAAAAAAATGTTAAATATAACTGATATTTATGTCTCTGCTCAGCTTCAGTATAACTTAATTGCAGGGGAAAAGAAAAACATGAAGCGGGCAGAGCTGATATTCGTTCCATCACCAAGCAAAGGCCACTTGACCACAGCCCTTGAATTCGCAAAGCACCTTGTAAATCACGATGATACAAGGGATTACAGTTAATACATTTGAAGGGCTCGAACCGTACACTATTAACTATTTCTCCGATGGCCGAAATCCCCCGGTTTACCCTGCTGGACCAGTGCTTGATATTGGTTGCAAACCTCACACGGACGTGGACTTGGCTCAACGTGAAAATATGAAATGGCTTGATGAACAACCTCGATCATCGGTGGTATTTCTCTGATTTGGAAGCTTTCGTGTATCCCAAGTTAAAAAAATAACACTTCGACTCGAGCAAAGTGGATACAGGTTCTTATGGTCCTTGCGCATGCTGAAGCCAGATTCTGGAACTGTTTGTTACAACGAGGATATGTTGCCAGAAGGGTTCTAGGAAAGGATCCAAGTGAAGGGAATGATATATGAGTGGGCTTTTGGAATAAAAGAGTGAATTATTCGATGAATTTAATATTTATATCAAATTTAGATTATAAGTTTTTTAATATTGTAAATTAAAAGATATTATTTAATTTAATTATTAGTATAATAATTAGTTTGAATATATCAATCCAAAAAGTATGTGTTATTTTTTATTTTTGAATATTAAAGATAATTATATATTTTTATATATTTTAAATTAAAATAATATTGAATAATATTGTATATTGTTTAATATTTTAAATTTAAATGATATTATTATTTGTTTAAATTTAGATATTAAAAATGTTTAGTTGGAATAAAACACTCTTAAAAGTCTCTTATAAATATTGTGCAAATATGTTAGGTTTTTCAAATATCAGAATTCAAAAAGTTTTTTTCTCTTGAAAATTATTTTCTCTCATTTTCAGAAAATATTATCTCCTTTAATTTTTCTGGTGATAGTCGAAGACAAGAAAAGTTCGTGATTTCTACAACTGTAGTTGATCATCAAGTTGTTGTATCTTGAGAGACAGACGACCAAAAGATCTTACCAAAGAGTGGTCAAAAATCTGTCTTAAGAAAATTATGTAGTGACAGGCTTCAACTGATTCTAATCACAAGATCAAATACAATAAGAGTATTTTATTTCCTTTTATAATTCTCTTTTATTTTAAAATATTTAGTTTCTTCTTTTTTATTTTTTCTCAGGCTCCAATTTAGTCTTAAATATTTACTTCGCTCAACAATCTTAAGACAAATTCTTATCTTCTACCTTTCTTGATCCGAAATAATTTGGAATCGTGAAAAAATGAGATAGTAAACAAATTTGTTTCCGGATTTATCTTTTCGTCTTAACGGTTTACTAGAATCTGAAGTGGACAAATATGTATAACATAAATTGTCGTGAAAATACCTACGATTACGGATTTTGATTAAGAATTTTGATTCTATCCAATAACAAAATCTAAAATAAACAAGAATTAATTTTTTATTTATTGGAATCTTTGATTTCGTATTTAAAATCAATTGAGATTTTAATTTTGTCGCGTAACAGAATTATTAGATTTTCATTAATAGAAATTGTGGGAAGTAACAACTCTATTACTAGTTTGTTTCAGAATTTTAGTTCATGACTAAGTTCTATTAATTGAATAAATCAAAATCTAATTTTGGTTTATTGTTGGAATTATTTCGTGTTAAAAAGAATAATGGATAATTTCAATGATTCATCTAATTCGTGATTTGGCATGTTAGTTCCTACTCAAACTTTGAATTAAAATTCAATGATATTGATGGTTGTAAATCATAACGAGAAACTTATAAAAAAATTTGATAGAATTTCAAGATATGACAACCAAAGATGTTTTATTTGATCATGTTGAATTTGATCAAATATCATTTGATCCTTCTATTATTAGAGAATATGAGGTAAACATTGTTACCGCATTAAAAAAATGTGTAAGCCTCAATCATGGTCTTTTAATATAGAATATTAAAAAAGGCATGACTTTTTTCATATATATATAATTATTATAAACTATTATAATAATTATGACTTATGTTTGGAAACACAAAACTATTATTTTCCTTTGAGAAATTTTATAGATACAAACAGATTCAGAGTTTTATCAAAGGCTCTTGAAATAATGGGTTGTTAATGTTAAAACATTAGTTCCTTTTATTTCTTATAAGCAGAATTGAGTTGCTTTTATATATCTATTTCGGAAGATATAATACTAGAAAAAGAGAAATAAAATGTTGAATTTATTTCACTTTAAAATCTTGTGTTGATTCTAACTTTGAAAAGGAAATAAATCATTGAATTTATTTTCCTATGAATTTTATATGATTTTGTTTGGTAAAAAGAAATAAAACATCAAATTTTTTTCTTGGAAATCATGATCGATTTCATCTTGTAAAAGAAAATAAATTGTTAAATTTATTTTCATAGAATCTTGTATGATTATGTTTGTAAAAAAAAATCGTTGGATTTATTTCTTGAGAATTAAGTATGATTCTACCTTGTAAAAAGAAATAAATTATTGACTTTATTTTTTTAAAGTCTCGAATCAAAGCTTGGAAAACATGGTTTTCTAAGATGTAATCACATTCTCAAAACCTTATCTGATGCACATTATGTAATGTACATTGTTTAAAATGTCTAAAGAATTATGGTTGATATTAAACCATAAATACGAAACGGAAAATGCTGCTACTGATGAATTATTAGTGACAAAGTTCTTAAAATTCATAATAATGACATAAACGAGGGAGAATAAATATTTTATTACCTCTAGTGATGATAGTAAAAGTATTGCTATATATACTTGCTTGAGAGCAAAGATGAAGCTATAGAGAAATTCATACTCTATAAGTAAAAAGCCAAAACCAACTTAATAAAAAGATTAAGATGATAAGAAGTGATCATGGTGGTGAATATGTTGAATCATTCAGTCAATTTTGTTTACAACATGATATTATTCACGAAGTAACACCACCATATCCTCCTCAATCAAATAGAGTAGCCAAGAGGAAAAATCAAACTCTAAAAGAAATGATGAATGCATTGCTAGGCAGTTATGGATTATCACATAATATGTATGGGAAAGTTGTCATTTCAGCTAATTATCTTTTAAATAAGGTACCCCGAAAGGAAAAAGACAAGACACCATACGAATTATGGAAAAGTCAAAAACCTTCCTACAAACATTTGAAAATGTGGGGGGTGTCTTGCCAAGGTAATGACCCCATTACCAAAGCAAATGAAAATAAGTCCTAAAACTGTAGATTGTATACAAAATATAGTAATGCATATCGATTTCTTGTGTATGAATCAAAGAATCCCGAGGTTCACAAGAACACGATAATGGAATCAAAGAATGCATCATTAAGAATGCATCATTCTTTGAAAATATTTTCTCTTATAAATCTAAGGAAGTTGATCAAAGTTCAATAAAATGAACTTTAGAGACTAATAATGAGGATAGTCTAGATGATCAATAAGAGGCTAAAATTGAGATAGAGCCAAGTTTGGGCTAGAATTATAACCTTTATGTTGGAGGCTGAACCTCAAACGTATAGTCAAGCTATAAATCCTCTAAAGGCACCTTATAGAAAGAAGCCATTAAGAGCAAAATATATTCCATCATGCAGAATCATACGTGGGAGTTAGAAGATCTTCCTATGGGGATTAAACCACTAAATTCTAAATAGATTTTCAAATAGAAAATGAAAGCGAATGGAACAATTGATAAGTACAAGGCTAGATTGGTAATAAAAGGATATCATCAAAAGGAAGGCTTTAACTACTTTGATACATATTCTCCTCTATCAAAGATAACATCCATAAGAATGATACTCGCAATTATCGGTTTGCAAAATCTAGAAGTACATCAAATGGATGTTAAAACATCTTTCCTAAATTGGGACCTTGATGAAGAAATTAACATGGAACTACCTGAGGTTCATGTAGTTCTAGATCAAGAAAGGAAAGTCTATAGGTTGGTGAAGTCTTTGTATGGACATAAACAAGTACCAAAACAATAGCATGAGAAGTTCGATAGTGTCATGATGACAAACGACGTCAAGATAAATGACTGTGACAAGTGTGTATATGTCAAAATTACAAAAATATGATATGTTATTTTATACTTGTATTGATGACATACTTATTGATGGGAGTAA